CCATCTGACTTATTTTGCTTAGCATGGTATTCTTAAGATCCATCCATATTGTTGCAAATGGCAGTATTGCATCTTTTTGATAGCTGAGTAGCATTCCATCATATATATATATATATATGATATATATGATATATATATGATATATATATGATATATATATGATATATATATGATATATATATATATAATCTCCTTTATCTAATCATCTATCAAAGGACACTTTGGTTGTTTCATGTCTTAGCCACCATGAATAATGCTGCGATGAACATAGAGTTACATATATCTTTATGAATAAATGTTTTCAATTTTGGTGGGTAGATACCCAGAAGAGGGTTTGCTGGCTCACATGGTAACTATTCTTAATTTTTTAAGGAATCTCCCTTCTGTTTTCCATAGTGGCTGTACCAGTTACATTCCCACAAGCAGTGAGTCCTGCATTCTTAGCCTCTGAAATGGCCCGAGATGATACTCATCTAGATGAGCAGTGGTTTGGATAATGGATATCAGGTGGATTGGACACGTGAACATTCTTTCCTTAGTCCTTCAGGGGTGATCTGAGGATTATCTCAGGTTTGATATATATCCAGGCTTCAGGCTAGTTAAAACAAGAATAGAATTGTTTCCTCATATCTCAACCTACTTTATTTTAGTAATTTAGTAGCTTAACCATAGTGAATACATTTTATTTCTTCACTTTATTCCTCAGTGAATTAACATACTAATTTTCTTTCCCTTCACATGTCTATTCTAAACTTTGACTTTTTAACCACAAACCCCCAAAAGAAAAAAAAAGACTTTTCTTGCAGTTTTTTTTTTAAAGAGGCATGTTTCAGTCCTCATTGCTGTCCTTTGTTTTACAGGTCTGAGTTTGCTAGCTCAGACAACTAAGACAATCTGTAGGCTGCCTTGAGGTCTTACTCATATGCTGCACTTTTAAAAAATATGTTGAGATAAGATAGTGTATGACTAAGAAAGGTGAAGTGTTAAGGTGTAGTTTATTGTAGATTATTTAACATTCAACTCTTGGAGAAGGGGAGCAAAGCAGTTCAAAATGCCTCTTACAGCCCGCCCCCCCCCCCCCGACCCTGACACACACACACACACACACACACACACACACACACACACACACACACACTTCTTCTTTGTATTTTTTTTTTTCCAGAGAGGAAAGAAGAGAGAGGGAGGAATAGAAACATCAATTATGAGAAAGAATCATTGATTGGCTGTCTCCTGCATGCCCCACACTAGGAATCAGGCCTGCAACCTGGGCATGTGCCCTGACTGGGAATCAAACCATAATCTCCTGGTTCATAGGTCAACGCTCAACCACTGAGCCAGGCCATCTGGGCTCTTTGTCTTCTTTTTAACCAAAATTAATGAGAATAGAAAGGGAATGGAGGGAGCTTTTGGGGGCTTCTTTGTGAAAGTGAAGTATACAACTTCTGTTCCCCCCCACACACACTTATTGCCTCTAACAAGAGTAGAGACTATCATAGTTATCAGGTGACCTAGAATCAAAGCCCTCAGACACAAATCCTCTGCTTTTACATATGCGAAAATTGAGGCGTGAAGAGGTTGAGTAATTTGGCCGGTTAAAAAAAAAATAATACATACTCTACCCAGCAAAGCTATTATTTAGAACTGAAGGGCATGTCCAGAGCTTTCCAGACAAGAAATGCGAAAGGAGTTTGTCACCACAAACTAGTATTGCATGACATGTAAAAGGGTCTTCTTTAAAAAGAGAAAAAGGGAAAGGAGAAAAGATCAATGCCCTGGCTGGTTTTTTTCAGTGGGTAGAGCATCGGCCTGTGGACTGAAGAGTCCTGGGTTTGATTCTGGTCAAGTGCACACGCCTAGGTTGTGGGCTCGATCCCCAGTAGGGGGCATACAGGAGACAGCTGATTAAGGATTCTCTCTCATCACTGATGTTTCTATCTCTCTCCCTCTCTTTTCCTCTCTGAAATCAATAAAAAAATATATTTTTTTAAAAAGGTCAAAAACATGAACAGCCTGGCCAGTGTGGCTCAATGGTTGAGTGTCAGCCTATGAACCAGGAGGATGCAGTTTGATTCCCGGTCAGGGTATATGCATGGTTTTCGGGCTCAATCCCCAGTAGGGGCACGCAGGAGGCAGCTGATCAATGATTTTTTCTCAACATTGATGTTTCTATCTCTCTCTTCTCTCTTCCTCTCTGACATCAATTAATATTTGACAAAGAAGGCAAGAGCATACAATGGAATAAGAACAGTTTCTTCAATAAATGGTGTTTGGAAAGTTGGACAGGTACATACAAAAAAGTGAAACTAGACCACGAACTTACACCATACACAAGATTAAACTCAAAATGGATAAAAGACTTAAATGTAAGTCGTGAAACCATAAACAACCCAGAAGAAAACATAGGCAGTAAAATCTCAGATATCTCTCATAGCAATGTTTGCTGATATATCTCCTCGAGCAAGGTTAACAAGGGAAAACAAACAAACAAAGGAGACTACATCAAACTTAAAAGCTTTTGCACAGCAAAAGAAACCATCAACAAATTGAAAAGGACACCCACTGAATGGGAAGGATGTTTGCCAATGATACATCGGATAAGGGATTAATTTCCAAAATATACGGTATATAGAACTTAACAACTCAACACCAGAAAGGCAAACAACCAAATTAAAAATTGGGCAAAGGACCTGAATAGATACTAACACTTCTCTAAAAGGACATACAGATGGCCAATAGACAGAAAAAAAATTTAATGTCACTAATCATCAAGTTAAAACCACAATGAGGCATCTCCTCGTACCTGTCAGATTGGCTATCATCAACAAATGACAAGTGCTGGCCAGGAGGTGGAGAAAAGGGAACCCTGGTGCACTGTTGGTGGGAATGCAGACTGGTGCAGCCACTGTGGAAAAACAGTCTGACATTTCCTCAAAAAATTAAAAATGGAACTGCCTTTGACCCAGAGATCCCACTTCTTGGAATATAGCCTAAGAAACACAAAACATTAATTTGAAAGAATATATGCACACCTATATTCATTGCAGCGTTATTACAATAGCCATGATCTGAAAACAGCACAAGTGCCAATTAGTAGATAAGTGGATTAAAAAGCAGTGGTACATTTACACAACGGAATACTAGCTGGCTGTAAAAAAGAAACTCTTGCCGAAACCGGTTTGGCTCAGTGGATAGAGCGTCGGCCTGCGGACTGAAAGGTCCCAGGTTCGATTCCGGTCAAGGGCATGTGCCTGGGTTGCGGGCATGTCCCCAGTGGGAGATGTGCAGGAGGCGGCTGATCGATGTTTCTCTCTCATCGATGTTTCTAACTCTCTATCTCTCTCCCTTCCTCTCTGTAAAAAATCAATAAAATATATTAAAAAAAAAAAAAAGAAACTCTTACCTTTTGCGACAGCATAGGTGGACCTGGAGATTATTATGCCAAGTGAAATAATACAGTCAGAGAAAGAAAAATACCACATGGCCTCACTTATATGTGGAATCTAATGACCAAAATAAATCAATGAAAAACAAATAGAAACAGAGGCATGGATACATGGAACAGACTGACAGCTGTCAGAGGGGAGGTGGGTGGGAGGCCAGATGAAAGAAAGTGAAGGGATTAAGCAAAAAACCACACATAACTATATACCTGTACCTATAGCTATAAATACATGTAACACGAGACCAGTGCTCTAACCCCTGAGCTATGAAACCTCAGCTAACTAGATATAGCACATAGACACAGACAACAACGGGGTGATAGCCAGAGGGAAAAGGTGGGGGAAATGGGGGTGATGGGCACATGATGCAGCGTGCAGATGATGTTTTATTGACTTGTACACTTGAAACCTGTATGGTTTTGCGAACCAATGTTACCCCAATAAATTCAATTTTTTAAAAAAAGAACATTTTGATGGTTGCCAGATGGGAGAAGGGTTGGGTGAAAAAAGTGAAGGGATGAAGAAGTACCTACAAATTGGTTGTTATAGAATAGTCATGGGGTTGTAAAGTATAGCATAGGGAATATAATAAATGATATCCTAATAACTAAGTATGGTGCCATATGGTATGAGATTTATGGGGATGATCACTTAGTATAATCACTGGTGTACACCTGAAACTAATATAATATTGTATGTGAACTGTTATCAAAAAATTTTTAAATGATTTTAAAAAATAACACATAGGACAAGAACTCTGATATCAAGTTAACTATTGATTCATTTACATTCTAGTTTTCAACAAAATATCCCACCATAGAGGGTTGCTTATACAGCGTGAGATTTGCATAGCACGGGACACTGCTGCTCAAGGGGTACAGGTAAGAAGACTGGGAAAGCGGAGAGAACACTTGATCAGCTGTTTAATCAGCTTGGAACAATGGAAGTTACAGCTGGAAAGGACAGCTAGGAGTACAAGGAGTCTCTAAGGTGTTTGGACTCCTTCTCGAACAGCTCTCGTGCACTCATGATTTTCAAACTTGGGAGTCACTTGATCGAAATTATTGATTAGGGCAAGACTGGCCTGAAAGTGGAGGAAGAAGGGAGAGGTCAGAGCCTGAGGTTCAACGATGGCTCTAAGGCCACTGCCTAGGTAAGGGCAGTGGCGTGGGAAGGGGTTTGACGGGAAGATGCTGAGTCCCCAGGTCCCTGCAGGCGCAGGGTGTCTTTGAGGACAGGACGTGGGGCTTGCGGTGCAGTGTGTGCGAAGCGTCGGGGACGGGCATCGCGCACTCAATATCATGTTTACATGACGGTTCTGCGAAGGAACACACAACTCAAAACTCCGCGGGGAAACCTCCGCCGTGGAGGGTCCGGGCCCAGCCCCGCAACCCGCACGGCCAGGACCGCGGGCTCAGTCCCGCCGCCTGCAGGTCACCCAGCTAAGCGAGGGCCGTGGGAGAGCCCTTGCCCAGGCCCCGCCCCCCGGCCGCGCGCCTGCGCTCTCCGGTCCCGCTCGCCCCGCCCCTCGCTCCCCCGCCCACGCGGTCGCCGCCACGGCGGCCGCCCAGGAGCTGGGGGAGGACGGTGGCCCGCGAGGCTCGCCGCAGACAACGCGGCGGCGATGTCCCCGAGCCAGGCGGGTGCCGCGGCGGCAGCGGCGGACCCTCGCGCGCGGCCAGGCGGCCTGGGCTTCGGCCTCCCTCCGGTTCCTAGGACGCGGGCCGGCGGCCAGCGCGGGAGCAGCGGCAGCAGAAGCGAAGGCTGCGGCGCGTCTCTCTCCTCCCGAGCAGCCTAAGCCCCGGGAGGCCAGGCGGACGGGGTGGTGGCTGGCGGGGGTCCGCTGCCCGAGAATGGGAATTCTCTTCACCAGGATATGGAGACTGTTCAATCACCAGGGTGAGGGGCCCCGGCCGAGGGCGAGCGGGCGGTCCAGGGGGAGGGTCTCCCACTCTTGCCGGAGTGTGGGCAGCGCGGCGGCGCGCGGTCTGGGCGCGGGGTGCGGGCCGCGGGGGCCTGGGTGGTTCGGTCCCACGTCCAGCCCCGGGATGGGTCCCGACTCGCAGCCCTTTGTCTTAGGGGGCCTCCCTACGAGGTTCCCTTCTGCACACACACCCATTGCTCCGATTGCGGTTAGGGAAGGAAGAGATGCCGTGTCCGGCGTCCCGGAGTGGCACCGCCTGGCCTTTCAGCCCCTTCCCTCCAGCAGTTGGCGTTGCACACCCCGAGAAAGGCTGGGGTTCTCCGGGCTGAAGGCGGCAGGTGGTGGCCCCAGCCGCGCCGCGGAGCCACCGAGGGTGGCGGAATTCGGAAAACGGGGGATCGCTCTTTACTTGTCCAGGGTGATGAGCCTTCCCTGCGCCCCACTCTCCTGTGGGAACATTCGGCTGAGCCTGAATAGTGATGGATCTCCCCCCCTGTTCGCTATATATACTGTTTAAGGTTAAGCTTAAGGTCATTTTTCTATTAGTGCTTATTCAAATAGAAGGAGAGTGTGTGTGTGTGTGTGTGTGTGTGTGTGTGTGTGTGTGTGTGTGTGTTTGGTTGGGTTAAGAATGTGAAAATGTGTTTCATTTTCACGTAACGCGTTTAAAAAACATACCATATGAAGCATTTGTTAACCGTGGGTAACTTAGCAAGTTACCAAGTCAGTCTAGTCTAGAGTGTCATCATATAGGGATGCTTCAGTTCATCTAAACTCAAATGTTGCCTTGCAATGCTTATCAAGTTTATTAAAATTTATTGCTGAGTGAGTGTATAAAACTGGGGAAAGCATGCAGTTTTTTTAAAAAATTGTTTTATTGCTTAAAGTATTACAAAGAGTATTACATATGTCTCCCTTTTTTTCCGCCCTTGACAATCCCCTGGCCTCCCCTACCCCCCAGTGTCTTATGTCGTCCATTGGTTATGCTTATATGCAAAACATGCAGTTTTAACAAAAAGCCTCCCCGGTCATTAAGATACAGTGTAGTTAGTGGTATACTTTTGTTTCTTTTTAGCTCAAGTTGGGTGATTCATCAGTCCTGCAGCCAGTAACGCAGCTTGTGTTTTTTCTCTTGTGTAAGCTGGTGATTGTGTCACATCCCAAAGTTTTCCAATAAGGACTCATGAATGGTGACAGCTGTTGTGTACAACCACTGTGCTCACCTCCTCCTTCGTGGTTCGGCGTCACCTATAGAAGATGGTGACCGGAAATGAGCAGAACTGGGATTTGTGATCTCTAGTGTCTCTTTTTAAAAACTAAAGGTAATAGCGTAGATCACAGGATACTAAATGGAAGAACAATATTTCCAATTTTTCTGATAATGGGGATTTTTCTATAAAGTAGGGAAAACCAGTTCTGACCTGCACCTCGTCTGGCTACTTGTTTGTGCTGGGGAGAGGGAGTAGAAACCAGTCAGTCGCTTAACCTCTCAGTCTAGGTGTTCTCACCTAGAACACCAGGGATTTTGACCATGTGACTGTGGAGCCTACAAATCTTGAAAACCTCATCCCTGGGTGTCAAGTATTGAAACTTACATTGCTGTAAAATGGTGGCGCTTCTAGTAGGTAAGGTCTAGTCTAGTTTTAACATCCATAGTTTGGTATTATTTTCAAAATGAAGCTAATTTCAACTCTGCTATGAAATTTAGGAAGAGTTTGCTTGTCAATTTACTCTGGTACTGCAATAAAATTAGATAATCTCCACTTTCTCTTTTGATTCAATGGTAAAATTGTCTGTAACTTAATGAATTAGAGCTTTGCCAACAACTACTTGCCAGTAGTAAAAAAATAGGGATGTGTGCATTGTTACCACTAAAAATCTACTAATATGATGTTTTGATCTTATTACCTGTATTTTGTCGTAATTTTTGACTGAACATTTATTTCAGTGCTGGGAAATTAATAGTGAGCAGATTAGTGAAGTTGCGCTTTAGACATTTAGATGTCAATATTGTAAAAACATGAATAAACTATTTTTCTTCTGCTAAATGATGTGGTTGTATTATCAGTAGGGTCACTTTTCAAAATATTTACTATTAAATCTAATGCCAGATACTTGCTGGTCTTTTTGGTTTTCTATGAAATTGGATATATGTAAATTAGATATATCTTGGATGCTTTATTTTACTTTCAAAAGATACAGAACACAATCCTATATTCTTTTCACATAAATTCTGGAAGGGAGATTTGGGGGCTTACAGAATTTGCCATGCTGATGAAACTTAAACTATACACTATCTCTTTTTTCTGAAACCCCTTTAGAACACCTTTCTCATTTTAAGCTTAGATCGTTTGAGTGCACAGTGGTTGCATACTGCCCAACTTGAAAAACCAGAATTTGCATTTAGATATGTATTTAGATAAAATAGAGTACAAACTTTAGTATTCTAGATGCTGTTCTATGCATCTTTTTTTTACTTTATTATAATTGTTGACATTATTACGTATGTCCCCATTTATCCCTCTTTGCCCACCTCCACCCAGGCCCTACCCTCTCGTCCCTCTCACCATTACCACACTGTTGTCTGTGCACTTTCTTTCATTCAGTTCCCTCTCTCCCCTCCCCTCTGACAATTGTCAGTCTGTTCCATGTATCCATGCCTCTGTTTCTATTTTGTTCCTCAGTTCATTAGATGGCACACATAGTAAGATTACATGGTATTTGTCTTTCTCTGACTGGCTTATTTTACTTAGCATAAGAATTTCCAGGTTCATGCTATCACAAAAAGTAAAAATTCCTTTTTTTTTTTTTATGGCCGCATAGTATTTCATTGTGTAAATGTAGCAGAACTTTTCTATCCACTAATCTACTGATAAGCACTTGAGCTGTGTCCAGATCTTGGCTATGGTAAATAACACTACTGTGAACTAAGGGGTGTGTATATTCTTCCGAATTGGTGTTTAGGGATTCTTAGGCTATATTCCCGGAAGTGAGATCACTGGGTCAAAATGCCTTTTTAAGTTTTTGAGGAAATGTCATTCTGTTTTTCCACAGTGTCTGTACCAGTTTGCATTCCCACCCACTGTGCCTGAGAATTCCCTTTTCTGCACATCCTCACCATTTGTTGTTTGTTTGTTGTTTCATTGATGGTAGCCATTCTGGCAGGTGTGAGGTGATTTCTCATTGTGGTTTTAATTTGCATCTCTCTGATGATTAGTGACATTGAGCATTTTTCTCATATGGCTATTGAGCATCTGTATATCCTCTTTGGAGAAATGTCTATTCAAGTCCTTTGCCCGTTTTTTAGTTGGATTGTTTGTCTTCCTGGTGTTGAGATGTATGCATCACTTTTAAAAAAGTTTCAACATTCCTTTGAAGGAGTTACTCTTTTCCACTGAAAAGAGGAAACTGAGGTTCAAGTGGAGTGATTTTCCTGAGCCTTACAACTGGTAAATGCCAGATCCAGGCAAGTTAAAACACCAAAGAAATACATTGCTGATGCTTGTCTTCTTAAAGAAGAGATTGGCACCAATCCCTTTTTTCCCTGTTAACTGTTTCCCAGATACTAAACTATGTCTTTAGGACTTGGAAGAGTTGCCATTACTGTCTTTTAGTATAAAAGGGCATGTGATCAGTGGTTGGTTGGTTTATTAAATATCGAATATTTTTGAGCACCACTTTTGTGTCAGGAACTATTGTAGATGGTGGGCACAAGGCAGGGAACAAAACAGAAAAACCACCTGCCTTTATGGAGCATTCATTCTTGATTGGGGAGACAGAAAATAAGCTAACTCCATCTCTATAGATAAAATACTAGCAGTGAACATTTACTAATTTATGCAGGGGTAGGTTCCAAATGCTGTATGCAGATTGGTTGATTTAGTCTTCACTTTATTGATTTACTCTTTACAACAACCCTATGAGGTAGGTATTCTCCCCATTTCATAGGGACAAAGAAACATTAGGTAACTTGTTTGCTTAAGGTACTACAATTAAAAGTGATAGACCTGAAATTTTACGTCCAGTGCCCGAGTTGGTGCTCAAGAAACTTTCTTTGTAGAAGAAAGATTCATGTTAGATAAAGGGGAAAACTTCCTGACACTAACATGAACTCTGAAAAAATTTGGGAAATTTTCACGTTGATAACTTTGTATCATTCTTCCGATTGGTTCTTAGAAAAGAAGTAGTCGTAAATGAGTTCTGGAGAAGCTGCTTGTGCTGCTGGAGCCTGGTTCTGGGAAAGCCACCTCTGCTTCTGTTTTGTTTGTTTGTTTTTAATTGTATGGTAGTTCAAACAGTATAGAAGAGTAAATATAGAAACTGAGTAGCCCAAAGGGTGGACTGTGCTAATTTTTAAAGAAATTTAGCTCCAGCCCTGGCCTGTGTGGCTTGATTGGAACATCGTCCTATGCACCGAAGGGTTGAGGGTTCCATTCCCCGGGCTGGACACACACCCAGGTTGTGAGTTCAATCCCCGGTCAGGGCACATATGGAAGGCAGCCAATTGATGTTTCTATCTCTCCCTCTCCCTTTCTCTCACCAGAATCAATGAAGAGCATATCCTTGGGTGAACATTTAAAAAAAAAAAAATTAGCTCCAAATTCACCCTTTGTGCTTGCTCTGTGGATATGCTGGAGAAAAGGGTTTTTCTTCCTGGCTAAAGGGTACTCTTAGCAGGATCTGTCCTGCTCTTGTGGTGTGAGCACCTCCAGTGGCTGGTTCTTGCACTGCACAGTGGTCAGCTGCAGCCAGCAACTTGCCATAGCACCCACTTCAGTTGATTTCAGAATGGAGACCCTGCAGCAAAATAACTTCTCAGGGAATAGCACCCTGGAGGGGGAGGATTTTCAGCAAGATCCATTGGCAAGTCTGCACAGCTACTTCTGACGTTCATTGAGCCATAGCCAGGCCCTCCAGCAAAGTATACATCTCAGTCCTGGGGAATTGGAGGAAACTCTGGGCCAGCCCTAGGGGTAGTTAGTGCTCCATATATTTGTCATTTTTATAATCTTTAGAGTTATTTCTTATTAGCCAATCCTTTATTCCAACCCCCTGTAATAGTTATTTTCTTTAAATTAAACTTTGCTATTTCAGATTGTTATGTGATTTGTTTTCTGATTGGATCTCTACTTTTGCAATACATAATCATTGCTTTTCATTCAGCAGCTTCTTAGTGCAAAAGAGATGTTGTCCCTCCCCCCCACCCCCGTAAACTTTACTACCATTTCTGTAAATAGCAAGTTTATCTTTAAATGTTTTTTATTGATGATACTTTTCAATTTAAAAATAGAATTTTTAATACATAGTGACTTCATCAGTTAGCTCCCTTCTAATCTTTGTAGCTTCTAGATTTATTTATTTATTCATACTGTATTCAGCACATGCTTTATTCCAGACTGTGCAGTGGCCAGAGAGAATTATAGTGAACGTGATAGAAATGGATTTTTTGCTGAATGTGATATAGAATCAGTAGGGCTTAGTGAGTTTGGGTATGAAGTGAGAATGAAGTCTCAGGATGACTCAATTTATCTGCCTTAGTATTTGTGTTTTCTGGCTTTGATATGATTCAGAGAATAGAAGGCCTCCGGGTGACAATACTTTTTTCTTAATTTACTATCTAGTAGTTGGATGGCTATATATTGACTTTTAGAACTGGCAATAAATGGAACGCTAGGCTGCCTGGGTATATGAAAAGGAAATAAGTGAAACTAGAAGCATTTTCATGAAAAACAAAACAAAACAAAAAAAACAGCCAAGTACTGATTAGGAAACTAAAGCCTAAATGATAACTCAAAATTCTATCTAAATATTGTAACAGTGTGTAGTTGTTTTGGCTTATATGAGTAACTGCAAGAGTGCTGTGGCATAGATAGTCTAAAAGAGAAATTATACTAAGCAATAAACTTGTAAATGAATCATATGCATCAAAGAATTGGAATAGCCAAAAATTTATTATATTTGCCCACCATAACATCTCTTAATATGCATATTGTATTTTAGGTTCATTTGTCTTGAAGTACATTATAATGCTTTTTGGCTGCAAATTTATGTTTTGCGTAGAATGCTACTCCATCTTGGTAATAAGAGGAATAGGCTGGAGTGGTGACAGAGCCTAAGGATGCTCAAAAGAAGCTTTGATTTAGTACAAGCATACCTCGTTTTATTGCGCTTCACATATTCTGTGTTTTTTACAGATTGAAAGTTTGTGACAACCCTGCATCGAATAACTATTGGTGACATTTTTCCAACACCATTTTCTCACTTTGTGTGTCACATTTTGGTGATTCCCACAATATTTCACTTTTTATTATTATATTTGTTA